TAAATTTTGACATTTAATGTTTGTATCTCCTACGGTAATTTTTTTTTTTTTTTAAGCTGTCTATTTTTTCTTCAAATGACACAGGACTTTACACTGTGTATGTGTGTGCGTGTGTGGGGGGGGGCGTGTGTGCGTGTGTTTATACACGTTAAGGCGAGGCGTCAAAAATATCGATACCAGCAGGCTGCCGCCTCACGTATTGGCGCATCGAGGCTGCAATTACGGCCGAAGCCTGGCTGGGGCAATTATTTTTCACTTATTAGCCCAGCCGGCTTGCGCCAGGCTGGGATCTGAGGCTCGGTTTCCATTCGAAAGGCGGCAGCCGGCGCATGCTTTTGTTCGGAGACCATTATGATGACATCATGAGTTAATTGAGGGTCCTACCGCCAGCGGTAGCCGGCTGAGCTAATTTAAAAAATGCAGCCAGGACGCACAAGTGCAGTTAGCTGCCGCTGGCTGGTATATTTATTTTTGACGCCTCGCCTAACATGTATACAAAACACACATTTATATAGAGAGCGAAACGGCAGTATAAAGAGCTCTGATATATTAATGTATTTGTTATAACAAGCTTATTTGAGTTGGTCCCATCTCTTTATATCCTTATAATACAATTAGATTCCTGATATTACATGATAATTTTCTTGGTCCCTAGCACCTCGTGAAAATGATTTCCCACTGTATACATAAACACTCGATATTAGGCAGGGTAAAGAATTATGTTGAAACGTTAAGGATCAAATAGATTTCACCAATGGGGCTTCTTAAAGTTATGATTTTGAACTTTATAAATGTTATCTTTTCATTTCATTTCAAAGACTTTATTTTCTGCAATCAAACAAATCAGTTATACAACAAATATTGATAATTATATAAAACATAAGGTATGCGAACAATATACAAAATATAGAAACAAATGTATAATACATGAGTAAGAGTAAATGTATACGTTGGGCCACTGCGTGTATAAAGAAAGAAAGCAGACAAACTCTACACCCGGACCGTAGACCCAGTTACCTTTATTTTCTTTAACCCAGTCAGCCCTACTAAACAAAATATTACAAAAAGAAATAATAACAAATATATTATTAAATGAGGCGATTTCAAGCAAGACACCTGAACTATTGCCCACACAATCGATTGAACGGTTGCAACCAACGAAAGAAAGCTGTGTTCAACTCAATGGCAACCATTGGAGTAGCATTGTTGAAGAAAAATGAAACACTGACAAGACTGAATCAATATTTCAGCAAGAGGAAAGGAAACAGCGCCATCTAATCATCATTGATGAATAACTCGAAGAACAGTATTGCCAGGCGAAAATAATTGTTTTCAGATTGGACAGCCCTAAGACCCTTTAACAACAACAACAACAACAAATCATTAAATTTCTGAACAATTTAACATATCGCATACCTCACTGCCCAAACCTACAAGTAATCCTAATTTTAATCCTTACCCAACGAGGATCCTTGAGAAGAGGAAAAGAGCATTAATCATGACAATTTGGGCAAAAAGTAATATATATCCGAAAAAGTGCAGAATATACCCCAATGACCAATTAAACTTAAATGCCAGTGGTAATCCTAGTGCCTACCCCAGGGGTGCCAGAGAGTCTTACAAGGTGGGGGAGGGGGGCACCAACGTAAAGGGCACTTTCTGGAAAAAAAAGGGGGACCTACAAAGAGAAATCTCAAAGTGAAAATATGACAATTTTGTATTGGTATATGCCCCTACAATGTGATAACATTATCAAAGATGATTTCAACGTTCTCTTTGCACGGTTCAAGATACTGCTTTAATAACCATCACATTTTGCAGTTTGGTGTGATGATCAGAATAATTTAGGATTAGTGAGGTCGCATTCCGAAAGAATATTTTATAAAGAGCAAAAGAAAATCCTGATTGGGTTTTAAGCACATTGCAATCATGAAAGACTGAACAGATCTTAAATAAGAAACACATTTATATCAACTTTAAATGCGAGATCATGTAGCGAGCGAAGTTTTGGTGAAGTTAAAATTCGGTGCCTTTAACTTAGGAGCACATTTTATGGTAAAAGGAAACGATGGCATATATCCAAATGGAATTTTGTTTTGTTAAAGAGCACATGTCACAGTAAAACGGGGAATTATTAGAAATGAGAATGGAGCACTTCTCGCACCTGATAAAGGGCACTCACCAGAGATGAAGAAAGGCTTTAATGATAACGGAAAAGGTGCACTTATTACAAGGGGGAAATGAGCACTTGTCGAAGGAAAATGGGCATGTTTTAGATTTTGATAGAGGCATCTATCAGAGGTGTCAGAATGGGCATTTATAAGAAGGGGAAGCGGCTCTTGTCAAAAAAGAAAAGGGGCATTTATGAGCAGGAAAATGGCACTGATTAGAAAGGATAAAGGGCACGTGTCAACATAAAAGGGTGCACTTTTTATAGATGAATAGGGCCTCTTATTGCAGAGTGAAATGGGTGACCTCTCAGATTTAAATAAAGGCACTCGTCGGAGATGAAAAGGGGAATTTATAAGAATGAAAAGAGGGCACACAAATGAAAAGAGGCACTTGTCAAAATATAAGGGGCACCTCTCAGATTTAAACAGAGGCAATTAAAGGTAAAGTGACACTTGTTACAGATTGTAAGGGGCATTTTTGGGACATTGAAATCTTAACCCTAATCTGAACCTTAACCCTAACCCTAAATATTAACCAAATCAGAGTCCTAACCGTAACGTGGACCCCCAAAAACATAAATATAAATGCTTTCAAATCTCAGATAAAGATACACAATTATCCATAGCAGTCTCCGCATTCCAATCATAAAAACTACCCCCCCCCCTTTCCCTCCACACGGCTATTGACCACTCACTACTTATGTTCAAATGCTGGCAAATTTGGTCGGCGTAAAGGTCGTGTTTGGAGCTAGTCGGCGTAAGTATGGCAAGGTCGGCGTAAAGGCTGTTGTGGTAACTATCTGAACGATAGTGGTCTTAGCTATGCCGACCTTTATGCCGACTGAAATACACCGGGATATTTCCAGCAATCTTATCAACAATTATTCGCCACGACTATGATATGCAGTAGCAAATTAATCTGTCATGACTCATGATACATTCGTTTATCAATTGATTCCGCTAGATTGATTCCACTGTTCGCAGGATTCGGCAGAGAGATAAAGAAGAGATCATTCACACGATAACAACGATGTACTATTCATATTTTTTCATCGTCTGTACATTGCTTTTTGAATAAACTCCTTTTTTTATTTGTATAGGCTTTCTAGGAGAAGTTTCAATTGTTGTACAGTAACTTTTAGCTTACACCCAGTAGGTCCCTCTGGTTAAAAGGTTTTGTTTTGACTTGTTTTCAATTAGGGACTTTTCGATTTGCACGTCGACATACTGGACTGTAACGTATGACGTCCTTTTAAGGCACCGACAGTGCCTTATTAGGACGTCACACCTAGCAGTCCACTATGTCGACGTGCAAATCGAAAAGTCCCTAATGGCAACATCAAGCACGCACTGAGTGCAAGCCAATTACATTATTTACAACAATAAACATCACTGTGGAACTATCACATGGCAAACAAATGGAAGATATAGCTAGGTTGAATAATTTTAAAGAAAACTGAACTTGAATCCCGCACAACCCCATCGCTCCCCTCTCTCTCTCTCTCTCTCTCTCTCTTTCTCTCGCAATACGATTAAATACGAAAAACATGCCCCCCCTCCGGAGCTTAGTCACTGACTTAGAGCGTTATTCATTTTCTTCTCCATACAGTAGGCCTTCAAAGTAAAAAGGAAACTGGAACGAGGATGATGAAGTAAATATTTGCTAAAGTAATACTGTTTCCCAGGTTTGCAGTCTCTAGCTTTATGTCTCATGATAATTTAAGGGAAAAGCAATCTTAGCAACACAAATTTGCTGTATATTAGAAACAATTATTCGCCATTGCTGCTCTTTAATCCGACTATATGCAGTGTATACATCATTACTTAATAACATTATCCAGACTCATTCGTTTACAAAAATTAATTCTATCCGATTGATTCATAAAAATGGATGAAAATTGCTGTTTCATAGATATTGGACAAACTTGAACTCCTTTAAATTATTGCAATCCAAAATACTCCCCCCCCCCCAAAAAAAAAAAAAAAAAAAATCCCTCTTCCAAATCTGTAAATGCACGTTGGTATCATATTTTTTACGATACATATTCTCCTCCGTCATGTTATTGGAATATGCTAGTACGATTTTATTGGTTAGGCCTATTGTCAACTGTTCATTGAGCCGAGTAAAAAAGTAAACAGAAACCAAATTCAGGTCATATGTCAACTTCTACAATATACAGTTTTGAGGAAGCAGCTAGCATAATTCACACCCGGATGACGGTTGAGTGCGTTATAGTCATATTGTAGCAAAAATTGAATAGAGCTGCGTGTATTAATTGTAGCCTGTACTAAACGTCATATCATACTAGTTTCCTATGTGATCGCGCTGTTTTTTTTTTTTGTATTTCGGAATAACAGCATTGCCATATCTGTAGGCCTAGGCCGCCTATACACATTCTAAATTTCACTACGTTGAGGAGGTGTTGGATATGTGATATTAATGGGAGAATGGAAGACCATCATGCTTATTCGGAAATGGAACGTACCTATGCAGCTGAAATGAACATTAAATATAATATATAATGAGAAAAACTGATCTCCTTTGTGGGCAAGACAAATCACGCGGTTTAAATGACGTTTGCAGGCACGTTAAACCATTGCCAGCCGTTTTACTTGGAGCAGATAATAACTGGCACGGTATAGCCTACCCATCTATCTTCGTCCCATAGCTTGGAGTCGTTAGGGGCGACAATGAAATAGACATAATGACACAGATTCTCATTAACTTCATGTCTTCAGCTGTAATACAGTTCTAGTTGATCAAATAGCACATACTTTTGCTATAATAATCTAGAAATTACAGGCACTCAGATCAGTTAAATTCTTATCATGGATAGGGACAAGTTTCAAAGAGAAGACCTTTCTGGGGCTAAACAAGATGATTTGACACCTCTCCAAGCAGCAGCATCCAATGGTCGACTCGACGTTGTACAGGTTCTCATTGGCCAAGGAGCAGATATAAAAAGTGCTAGTAATGACGGCGTGACACCTCTTCATGTGGCATCACTCAAAGGTCACCTCGATGTTGTACAGTTTCTCATTGGCCAAGGAGCAGATCTAAATAGGGCTGATAATAAGGGCAACACACCCCTCTACGCGGCATCATTCAAAGGTCACCTCGATGTTGTACAGTTTCTCATTGGCCAAGGAGCAGATCTAAATAGAGTTGGTCGAGGTGGCAGCACACCTCTAGAAGTGGCATCATTCAATGGTCACTTCGATGTTGTACAGTTTCTCATTGGCAAAGGAGCAGATATAAATAGGGAAGATGAGGAAGGATGGACACCTCTCTGTCTAGCATCGTTCAAAGGTCACCTCGATGTTGTAAAGTTTCTCTTTGACCAAGGAGCAGATCTAAATAGGGGTAGTAATGATGGCAGTACACCTCTAGTAGCAGCATCATTCGATGGTCACCTCGATGTTGTACAGTTTCTCACTGGCCAAGGAGCAGATCTAAAAAAGGCGGATAAAGACGGCAGCACACCTCTCCACGAGGCTTCATTCAATGGTCACCTGGATGTTGTACAGTTTCTCACTGACCAAGGAGCAGATCTAAATACGGCGGATAATGATGCCAGGACACCTCTACATGCGGCATCATCCAATGGTCATCGCGACGTTGTACAGTTTCTCATTGGCAAAGGAGCAGATCTAAATAGACTTAGTCGAGATGGCAGTACACCTCTCAAAGTGGCATCACTCAATAGTCACCTGGATGTTGTACAATTTCTCATTGGCCAAGGAGCAGATTTAAAAAGGGCGGATAAAGATGGCAGGACACCTCTCTTCGCGGCATCACTAAATGGTCACCTTGATGTTGTAAAGTTTCTTATTGGCCAAGGAGCAGATCCAAACAAGGGGAATATACATGGCAGGACCCCTCTCAATACAGCATCATTTGATGGTCACCTCGATGTTGTACAGTTTCTCACTGGCCAAGGAGCAGATCTAAAAAAGGCGGATAAAGACGGCAGCACACCTCTCCACAGGGCTTCATTCAATGGTCACCTTGATGTTGTAAAGTTTCTTATTGGCCAAGGAGCAGATCCAAACAAGGGGAATATACATGGCAGGACCCCTCTCAATACAGCATCATTCAATGGTCACCTGGATGTTGTACAGTTTCTCACTGACCAAGGAGCAGATCTAAATACGGCGGATAATGATGCCAGGACACCTCTACATGCGGCATCATCCAATGGTCATCGCGACGTTGTACAGTTTCTCATTGGCAAAGGAGCAGATCTAAATAGACTTAGTCGAGATGGCAGCACACCTCTCAAAGTGGCATCACTCAATAGTCACCTCGATGTTGTAAAGTTTCTCATTGGCCAAGGAGCAGATTTAAAAAGGGCGGATAAAGATGGCAGGACACCTCTCTTCGCGGCATCACTAAATGGTCACCTTGGTGTTGTACAGTTTCTAACTGACCAAGGAGCAGATTTAAAATGGGAGGATAAAGATGGCAGGACACCTCTACATGCGGCATCATCCAATGGTCATCGCGACGTTGTACAGTTTCTCATTGGCAAAGGAGCAGATCTAAATAGACTTAGTCGAGATGGCAGCACACCTCTCTTCGCGGCATCATTCAATGGTCACCTTGATGTTGTACAGTTTCTCATTGGCATAAAAGCAGATCTAAATAGGACTGGTAATGATGGCAGCACACTTCTAGAAGCAGCATCACTCAAAGGTCACCTCGATGTTGTACAGTTTCTCATTGAAAAAAAAACAGATCTAAATAGGATTGGTATTGGTGGGCGCACGCCTCTCCAAGCAGCATCATTCAATGGTCACCTTGGTGTTGTACAGTTTCTTATTGGCCAAGGAGCAGTTCTGAATAAGGTTGGTCGAGATGGCAGCACACCTCTAGAAGTCGCATCAATCAAAGGTCACGTCGATGTTGTACAGTTTCTCATTGGCCAAAAAGCAGATCTAAATAGGGCTGGTAACGATGGAAGCACACCTCTAGAAGCGGCATCACTCAAAGGTCATCTCGATGTTGTACAATTTCTCATTGGCCAAGGAGCGAATCTAAATAGGGCTGGTATTGGTGGGCGCACACCTCTCCAAGCGGCATCATTCAAGGGTCACCTCAATGTTGTACAATTTCTTATTGGCCAAGGAGCAGATCTAAATAGGGTTGGTCGAGATGGTAGCACACCTCTAGAAGTGGCATCACTCAAAGGTCATCTCGATATTGTTAAGTTTCTCATTGGCCAAAAAGCAGATCTAAATATGGCTGGTATTGGTGGTCACACACCTCTCCAAGCGGCATCATTCAATGGTCACCTGGATGTTGTACAGTTTCTCATTGGCCAAGGAGCAGATCTAAATAGGGCTGGTAAAGATGGCAGCACACCTCTGGAAGTGGCATCACTCAAAGGTCATCTTGAGGTTGCACAGGGTCTCATTGGCCAAGGAGCAGATCTGAATAGGGCTGGTTTTGATGGGCGCACACCTCTCCATGCGGCATCATTCAATGGTCACCTCGACGTTGTACAGTTTCTCATTGGCCAAGGAGCAGATCTAAATACGGCTGGTAATGATGGCAGGACACCTCTCCAAGCGGCATCATTCAATGGTCACCAGGATGTGGTACAGTTTCTCACCGACCGAGAAGCAAATCTAAATAGGGCTGATATTGGTAGGAGGCACACACCTCTCCACGCGCAGTTAATTGATAAAGGTAAGTTCAGTTGGCAAGATTGATTGTATTTTTATTGACTCTATCGACCCCCTCTCGGGGTATGAGAGTATTTTTTCAACATAGTATCAATATAGCAATAGTATAACAATGATAAACATGTGATAATATGAACAATGATAAACATATGATAATATGAACAAAGACTAACATGTGATAATATGAACAATAACAAACATGTGATACTATGAATAATGATTGTGATAATATGAACAAATCAATATATTATTTACAAATCAAGGCGAACTGGGCAGTTCACCCTCCTACCGCTACAAGTTTGCCTCACAACATTGCTTACTTGTGAGCTATCATTTACAGTATTACCATCTACACTTGGCTCTTTTGAAAAAATGTGACATAATTATCCTTACAAATTTTGCTTATTTTTTTAAAGCTGGCAAGCATGAACTGTATTAAAAACCTTATCCATTTGCAACACACTTGGTCTAGAGCTACTACTACACAGGTTATTTAATATATACATTTTTCTCTCATTTTGAAAGAATGGACATAAACAAATATAATGAAATTCATCACCAATATCGGTTGATGTATAAAGTGGGCATTGCAAATCATGTACTACTACATTTGCATCAAATCTGCGTTTATTAACAGGTAATCTATGTGTTCTACATCTAAATTTACTTAAAGTTATTGCTTCGTTCTGACATAATATCTGCAGGTACATTTTATAAACTTATTCTTAAATATCCTTTAGTTCGTGCAAATATTATTTGACCAGGTGGTTGCGCTCCATTCCTGAATAGACATGTCAGAAAGCCTGATTTTCACAGTATTCATTATCCAGGCAGCGCTATATCCTTCTCCTTGAGCTCGCCAGACGTTCCCAAGTCATGTATAATCAAAACTCAGGAGTCGTGAATGGTCGAATGTGGGTTGTGAATGGTCGAATAGCGGTCGGGAAGAGCTTGTGTTTAGGCATGTGGTCGGGATTTGTCGGGGGAAAATGGGTGATCGGGCTTGATTGGGCTTGGGCGGGTTGGTTTGATCGGCAGTAGGAACCCACCATTAAGCAGTATCTTCGATCGTGTAGAAAAAGAAACCAATATTGGAATCATCCCTGATAATGTGTTCACAATGTAGGGGTATATACCAATTTCTAAAAATTATATATATTGTCGCTGTGAGAGTTCCCTTTGTAGGTGCCCCTGTTTTCCAGAAAGTGCCCCTTTTGTGTTGACCCCTCCCACTTTAAAAGACCCCCTGCCGCCGCCCCTGTGCACGTTCGCAATCGTTTACATTGAGTGAACTGATGAGATAGGAATAAACGACCGTTTCTGCTGTATATTCTGAGCTATATAACACCTCATTTGGTTGTTTCTTTGTAGATCCAGTCGTTGGTTCAGAAAAGGAAAGCGGGAGTGTCGAAAAACAGGTGGATAGCGAAGGAAACGTAGAGACCTCAAAATCCGAACAGCTCAACATAGACTCTGCATCTTCTAAACAGTTCGTAGAAGTTTATGATTCCATGGGGGAATCCAATCAGCAATCAGGCTTGATTCGCATCGAGAAGTATGGCATTGAAGTCCAGTTTCATCCAAGTGAGATTTGGCGCGTTGATGACATCCAGGTAGTACCTGAAGTTCCAGCTGAACTGGCAGACTTGTTAACGGAGGACCAAGCAATCATTTGCGTTGGTCTTAAGGCGTCATCGTCTTTTGCGAAGTTTGAATATCCAGTAAAAGTGACGATGCCCCATTCAGCAATTTTCACAAGTCCTGATACTGCATCTATTGGGACTTACCATCGAAAAAGCAGTAAGAATCTTTACAGTTAACAACTAAATTATTCATACCTTACCAAGTTTTTTAATTTCAGAAGTATGTGAAAAATTGACTCGTATCCTGAATATATGTTTCTAGAGTGATCTATCGTAGAATCTGTGATAAAAAGCTGGGGTACTCACCCTCCCCGTCGCTTTTACGTTCTCTGAAATTAGTGTTTGTATTTACTTTGCTTTGTTTTCGATTTTGCAAACAAGAACAAATTGTGATTACGCATATGTCTTTTGTTTTCAATTTAAAGGCGCCGACAGTTTTTCGTTGATTGCTGCTTCCAATGGTGACCCTCGATGTGATGTTAGAGAGCGAGACCTTGACCTCTATATCTCTCACTTCTCTGAATGGTGGATTGTTGCCTTCATCACAAAGGTATTCGTGGGCAAGCGTGTCATCTGTACGCCTTTCGTACCCGAACCAAGCCCTATGGACACTAAGCATCTGTTGAGGCTCTGCATTAGAGACAGTAACCAAGGGAAAGCGGAGGTATGAACGGGAAGGGGTATTGTAACACAATGGCAGGAATTCACAAAGGAGGTTGTCGACAAACCTAGGTTTATTTGCGTCATATGACGCGTCGAAACGCTTCATATGACGCACATAAACCTAGGTTTGTTGACAAACCTCCTTTGTGAATTCCGGCCAGTTTGTTTAAAGACTACTAAAGTACTTATGTCATATTCGCTTTTCGTCCAGGTTACTGGTTCAGAACAAAAGAGCCTGCGTATGAGGTTCATCGCAAAATGACAAGCAACGTGGGCTGGAGCAGGGCAAACAGACCAGTTTCATATTGTAATGAAGTGTTATGCGTAAAATTTAAGTGCCATGTTACAAATGATTTAATTCAACTGTTAGGAATAATTAAGTTCTATAGTCAGAATATAAATGGCATAAATTACTTGTTGTTTGGTTATCCGGGGGTGGATGTCCAGGGGTACGTGTCGTAGAACCCTCTTTCACAACTAAATTAATTGATACCGTAAGACCTTAATTAAGTTATTTTTTCTTCAAACCATTGTTCTTGTTGTTTTGTTTTGTTGCCCCCCCCCCCCACAATCTTCTTGTTTTTAATTTCTGGTCCCCATGGAAGAAAAGCTGCAGTACGCAAGTGCAGCTTGAAATGGGCTATCCAGTCGTTTGCTTCCTCTGTCTTCTTGTTTACTTTATTTTATTTTATTTTATTTCTGCTCTTTTCCAATATAATAACTGAATAATAAAGAACATGTACACGTATAATACAAAATTCACAAACAACACAAATTTCATGTCAAAACGTTTTTTTGTTTGTACATATGTTCACATAGTAACGAAATTTAATATATTCAACTATCTGTTGAAAAAGTGCAGGAGATCGCAATCATAAGCGATGCTTGACTAGGATGACGGCCTCAAAAACAAATCATAAGGTAAAACTTAAAATGAGAAATGACAAAGTGTTTAAACGTTATGCATTGTTCCGTTCTTAATGTTGTTGTTTTAATTTTTGTTTTCAATTTATTGGCATGTGGTTTTCTTGCTTATGTAAAGTGTTAACTGTATATTATATATAAGTTTATAGCATTACACATTTTGGGGCTGCTTTCTTTTCATTGTACATGTATATTCTTTTTATATCATAACAAAAATCAGCCGGAACCAGGATACGTGACACCGATAAAGGGAGAAGAATATTTTGTGGCATGGCGTTCTGGTGATCTTAAAGTAACCTGTCAGGTAGACGACAAGGAAATATACACCAAGGCAAGTTCATATAAATGCTTTAGTCACAACGACAAACCGATTCAAAATTCCCTGATCGATTTCTTTGCTATTCAGAGCAATGTTTTTGTTTGGTTGGTGTGATGTCTTTAATTTTTATTTGTTTAAGTATTTATTTTTCATTGAATTCATTCAATGCATGTACATCATACTAATTATTACGAATTACATTACATATAGAGTACACAATTATACAACTCAATTATTTGGAATGAATAAATTTTATCCTAATAACCCCCTTCCACAAATTAAAACACAAAATGGTCTGTATGATCGGTGCATAGCGTATTGAGAGAGAGGTAGTTGTGACACGCGCGCACTTTCGCGATCAAATGTTAAATCATGGAGCTCAAAATAAATCCCTCCCAAATAAAATCTCTATATAGAAGGGAACTTATTTGAAACTCCATGAATTAATATTTGATCGCGAACGTGCGCGCGTGCCACAGCTACCTCTCTCAATACTGTGACGGAGGTATACTAGAGAGGGAAAATAAATAGGTAAACAGTTGAATGAAAAGTTTATATTACAATTAAAGTTACTCGATTATATTACCTGAATATGAATGTTTATCTATTCTGTCAAATATATGCAACATTTCTTACCAAAGGTGTATTAATGTGATACCGCGTATCAATAGAAGCATGAATAATAATAATACGAATTTTGTTTATTTACCATCGCTCGACGATAGTGTGTGTGCGTGTTTTGTTGCGAGCAGACGTGTGTGTGCGTTTGATTACTCCACCACTTTAACAGGGGATCAGAAACACGTTATGTTATATAGGATGATACCTACGGGGTCTAATGGAGACACATGTAGCACCATTTAACTGTAGCCTTGCAGAGGAAAAGATAATCTTGTATTAGGCAAATCGTTAGGACATACAATCTAGTTAATTGACATGATGGGTACATTTAATGTGTATCTAAAAGTTTATCTAGGTCAATGTACGGTTCGGCATTGACACTTCAGGCTCTGGTAAATCCCAAATCTTTGTCAAGTTCATTTTGGAACAAAGCGCAGAGAAAGAGATTATGTTCCTGATGACTCTGTCAGGTAAGTGTTAATCGCCTGAAATCATATAAATGTACGTCCTTGGTTTAGCTTTCAGCTTTTATAACGAAGAAAAGAAGAAACAGAAGGAAGAAACAGAACAAAAACAACCTTGAGTTCAGTTCAGTTCAGTTCAGTTCAGATTATTAAAAACACCAGACATAGCAATCATGACGAACAAACAAGATCCAAATTGAGACCCAAAAAAGCAAGGTTATGTAACTTTAAAAACATATTTAGAAGGAAAAAAAAGCTGAATCACTGACATCATGAACCCCCTTAACACACACACGCACACACATACTCGCGCGCGCAGGAAAACGTGGACCTGCCATTCTTTCTGTCAAACCGTGGACTTCTTTATTTCAGGGGGTATTATCATAATGTTGACTACACATGATCAGTAGATGTTTCTCATTTAAAAACTTCATTTGAAAAAAAGAAGTTCCTTCTAAATCTCTTTCGAATTTTCCAAAATTTCAACAGTACAATTGTGGACTTTAATGTAACCTAGGGCTCAATGTGGTGAACTGTGGACTTGAGATAACGCTTGACCCCTACATGAAAACGCGGACCTGCTCTCTTATTCCTGTCAAAACGTGGACATCTATATTTCAGGGTGTATTTTGATAATGTTGACTTGGAAATGACTAGTACAAATTTCTCATTTAAAAACTTCATTTGGAAAAAAAAGAAATTCCTTTTAGTAACATGTTTAAATCTCTTTCCGATTTCAATAGTACAAAATTAATGTGGACTTTAATGTAACCGAGGACTCGATGTGGTGAACCAGGCACGGATCCAGGATTTCTTAGGGGGGGGGGGCCCAAATTTGAAATTATGCGAGCCAAATATTGGTACGTAATGGTGACTAGCAATGACGTAATGGGGGGGGGGGGGTGCAGGAAGGGGCGATTTTCCCCTCCCTCCTCCGCAAAGCGCCGAAGCTTTGACGTTTCATTAAATTATTAGAGAAAGAAGACGATCCGTTGTACCGCTCTCGAAAATAATCCTCGTCTGAATACAGTTTTCCCCCTCCTGCGCGAAGCGCGGAAGCTTTTACGTTTCATTAGATCATTAGAGAAAGAAGACAATTCGTTGTACCGTTCTCGACTCCTAATCCTCGTCTGAATTCAGTCCCCCCCCCCCCCCTCCCGCGCGAAGCGCGGAAGCTTTGACATTTCATTTAATTATTAGAGAAACAAGACGATTCGTTGTACCGTTCTCGAATATAATCCTCGTCTGATTTCAGTTTCCCCCCCCCTCCTCCCGCGCGAAGCGCGGAAGCTTTTACCTTTCATTAAATCATTAGGGAAAGAAGGCGATTCATTGTACCGTTCTCGACTCTTAATCCTCGTCTGAATTCAGTTAACCCCTCTCCCGCGCGAAGCGCGGAAGCTTTTACGTTTAATTAAATTATTAGAGAAACAAGACGATTCGTATTACCATTCTTGACTCTTAATCCTTGTCTGAATTCAGTCTCCCCCCTCCTGCGCGAAGTAGGGAAGCTTTGACGTTTCATTAAATTATTAGAGAAAGAAGACGATTCGTTGTACCATTCTCGACAATAATCCTCGTCTGATTTCAGTTCCCCCCCCCCCCTGCCGCGTGAGGCGCGGAAGTTTTTACCTTTCATTAAATCATTAGGGAAAGAAGGCGATTCATTGTACCGTTCTCGACTCTTAATCCTCGTCTGAATTCAGTTTACCCCCCCCCCCCCCTCCCGTGCGAAGCACGGAAGCTTTTACGTTTCATTAAATTATTAGAGAAACAAGACGATTCGTATTACCATTCTTGACTCTTAATCCTTGTCTGAATTCAGTCTCCCCCTCCTGCGCGAAGCAGGGAAGCTTTGACGTTTCATTAAATTATTAGAGAAAGAAGGCGATTCATTGTACCGTTCTCGACTCTTAATCCTTGTCTGAATTCAGTCTCCCCCCTCCTGCGCGAAGCACGGAAGCTTTGACGTTTCATTAAATTATTAGAGAAAGGAGACGATTCGTTGTACCGTTCTCGACTCTCAATCCTCGTCTGAATTCTGTTCACCCCCCCCCCCCCTCCCGCGCGAAAGCTTTGACGTTTCATTAAAATTATTTAAGAAAGAAGATGATTCGCTGTACCGTTCTCTTCTCTTAATCCTTGTCTCAATTCAGTCCCACCCCCTCCTGCGCGAAGCGCGGAAGCTTTGACATTTCATTAAATTATTAGAGAAAGAAGACGATTCGTTGTACCGTTTTCGACTCTTAATCCTTGTCTGATTTTCAAAACTGTTTTATTGTCTGCTTCTTTTTCTGCCTACGTCCTCTTCCTTTTCTCTCCTCCCTTTTTTTGGCCAGCGTTTTTTTTTGGGGGGCCGCCCCCACAACCCCCTGGCTACGCGCCTGCGGTCAGATGAACATATTTTGCTACTTTGTCCGCCCCCGGAAACTCAGGGGTTTAAGGCAATACATTACACACAGATAAGCATTCAGGGGCCCGCCTTAGGGCCCCTGGTGGGGTCGAGGGTGCGAACACCCCGGAATATCAGGGGTTTTAGGCATTTGATTACGGTCAGACGAGCATATTTTGTATCAAGTACCTTATTTGTGACACTGGCAGAACACTGATTGGCGTGAGGTCCAGCGGGCGGATCTCCAGAAGCTCAAGGGTTTTAGGCACTAACTTACGGTCAGATGA